TAGTCTTAAATTAGAGGGACAAAGGTTTAAAATAATATCAGGAAGTATTACTTTACTGAGAGGGCAGTGGATGCATGGAATAGCCTTCCAGCTGAAGTGGTAGAGGAAAAATGAAAATCCAGCGCACTGACTTATCTAGTAAACAGTTATTTAAGTGCTGAACAATTTTGTTAGTTTTATTAAAAAACACCTAATCTAGGCAAAAAATAATGGGGGTTTAGTTACATTATATGATCATACATTGCATAAGCCTGCCACAACGCCAATGGACCCCATCTTTGACAGGCCCTACTCTGTCTGCTAAATACCTTGGGGAAATCCTTCCATCTCAAGTTCTCTGCAGTGCAAGGCACAAATAGGGTCCTTAGATGAGGCACCTGTAACAGGGAGGGGTGCACAACCAAGGAGCTGACTAGACTCATAAATATATACATATAGGAGAAAACAAGGGTTTGGCTGCACTCACCTAAACACACTTAAATGGGGTGCTGCTGGCCAATAAGTACGGTAAAAATGAAAATCCAGTGCACTCACTTATCTAGTAAACAGTTATTTTAGTGCTGAACAATTTTGTTAGTTTTATTAAAAAACACCTAATCTAGGCAAAAAATAATGGGGGTTTAGTTACAGTATATGATCATACATTGCATAAGCCTGCCACAACACCAAAGTACCCCATCTTTGGCAGGTCCTACTCTGTCTGCTAAATGAGCTACTCACTTGGGGAAATCCCCAATGAAGTGGTAGAGGTTAACACAGTAAATGAGTTTAAGCATGCGTGGGATAGGCATAATGAGCTTGTCCGTAGGGAGCGTGTGTGTGACTGTCTGCCTGTGTTTGCGGCCTCCATCCTCCCCTGACCTCAATCCTATTGAGAACCTTTGCAGCATCCTCAAGCAAAAGACCTATGAGGGTGGGAGGCAGTTTACATCCAAATAGCAGCTCTGGGAGGCTATTCTGACATATTGCAAACAAATTCAAGCAGAAACTGTCCAAAAACTCACAAGTTCAATGGATGCAAGACTTGTGAAGCTGCTATTAAATAAGGGGTCCTATGTTAAAATGTAACGTGACCTGTTAAAATGTTTAAAAAGTTCAAATGTTTTTATAAGTTTGATTGAAATAGCTTTTGATTTTAGTAAATATGCTGCAAACACAACAAATGACAATTTTCAGTTCTTTACAACCTATAAAGTGTTTTCAAACTTGCTGTGCATAATAATTTGGAACAGTGCATTGTAAGTTTTTTTATGTTTTAAAAAAATACTGTTATCATTAGGAGGTTTGTTCAATAAAATTTGAATTGTACTCTTAATAGTTGATAACATGAGAATTATGCAGACTGTTATTTACCTCAATTAATTAGGTAAATGAGAAAAATATCATTTGCATAATAATTTGGAACAGTGTGTGTGTGTGTGTGTGTGTATATATATATATATATATATATATATTTATATTATTGGTATATTTATTTTTCTAATTTAACATATTCGTCCTTTCAGGGTAATTAAATTATACAATAAAGCATACTCACATGCAGACACAGACAATCTTCCTGATGCACACAAATCGGCTCATTGACAGACAATCTCAATGACACACACAGACAAGGTTACTGGTACACACACAAATTTAGTACCGACAAACTCTGATACACAAACAAGCTTACTACAGACAAGGTCACTGTCACACACACACGCTAACTACAGACAAACTCACTGATGCGCACACACTCTCCCTACAGACAAGCCCATTGACACACACATGCTCCCTACAGAAGAGCTCACTGACACTCACATGCTCACTACAGACAAGCTCACTGACACACATATGGTCACTACAGACAAGCTCACGATCACACACATGCTTACTACAGACAAGCTCACTGCACACGCATTCTCACCACAGACAGGCTCGGACACACCCATGCTCCTTACAAACAAGCTCACTAACACACACACACATGATCCCTACAGACAAGCTCACTGACATCCTTCCAACTCACTCACTAGCAGGCACACACACAAACTCACTAGCAGGCACACACACACACAGAATCTCCCTTTACTAGCAGGTGCACACACACAAACACACACACACACACAGAAGATCACTCACTAGCAGATGCATACACACACACACACACACACACACACAGTAGCTCACTCACTCACTAGCAGATGCAGACATACACACACACACACAGACAGGCAGACAGCCACACACACACACACACACATACAGTCACACACAGGCAGACAGTCATACACACACACACAGGCAGACACTCACACACACACACACGCTCCCTACAGACAAGCTCATTAACACACACACATGATCCCTACAGACAAGCCCACTGACACATACAAGCTCACTCACTAGCAGGCACACACACACAGAAGCTCCCTCACTAGAAGATGCAGACATACACACACACACAGACAGGCAGACAGCCACACACACAGACAGTCACACACACACAGACAGTCACACACAGGCAGACAGTTCTACAAACACACACACACACAGGCAGACAGTCACACACACAGGCAGACAGTCACAAACACAGGCAGACAGTCACACACACGCTCCCTACGGACAAGCTCATTAACACACACACATGAACCCTACAGACAAGCCCACTGACACACATACAAGCTCACTCACTAGCAGACACACACACACACAGAAGCTCCCTCACTAGCAGATGCACACACACACACAGAAGCTCACTCACTAGCAGATGCGTAAACACACACATAAGCTCACTCACTCACTAGCAGATGCAAACACACACAAATACATCCACACACACAGAGGCAGACATCCACACACACAGAGGCAGACATACACACACATACACACACACACACACACACACACACACAGAAAGACATCCACACACACAGAGACAGGCAGACAGCCACACACACAGACAGCCACACACACACACACACACACACAGGAAGACAGTCACACACACAGGCAGAGAGTCACACACACACACACTCACAGGCAGACAGTCATACACACAGGTAGACAGTCACACACTCACACACACACACACACACAGGCAGACAGTCACACACACAGGCAGACAGCCACACACTCACACACAGGCAGATGGTCACACACACACACACCCACACACACAGGCAGACAGTCACACAAACACACACACACTGACCTGCTTCTTACCTCCACATCCCTTGGAGCTCCTGGAGACTGGTTGTTGGGGAAGCCCCGCCCCATCATTTAGAGCCGCCCCAGCCACACAGAAAGCTCCGCCTCCATTGCACGTCAAGTTCTACCCCAGCCGTATGCTAAGCCCAGCCCCCGCTGCAATATTGGGGTTATTTTTTTCCTTTTATAATCCTCACACATGGCCGGCCGGGATTACAGGAGCCCTCATTAGTGATGATTAGGGCTGTCAGCCCAGCCCCAGGTGCCGCGGCCCACCGGGAAATTTCCCGATATCCCGGTGGGCCACTCTGGCCCTGCCTATGGGCCTCCAGTTTATCTCATATGTGCGAACACACAAACCAGTGTCTTGTCCCACAATTGCCCGCTGGATTAAGTGGCTCATCGCTTTGTCAGGTGTGGATTTATCCTTTTGAGCTCATTCTATTAGAGGTGCTGCCACCTCATCCGCTTTTCTGCCCGGTGGCTCCCTTGCGGATATTCTAGCATCCGCTGATTGGTCAAGGGAGTCTTCCTTCCGTACCTTTTATTTTCGATAATCGCCCCATGCTTCTTTTTCCTTGGTTTCCTCGCTTTAAAACAGCAAATATGAAGCTTCCTGTCTTGCCATAAAATTTGGGATTATTCTATTTTACAGTGACCAAATAATCTAAATTTTATTAAAGACACGGAGGCTAATAATATTATGCATAACTCTTTCTTTATTCCCTCAGAAGCAAAGATAGAGGAATATAAATATTATCAAAATGAAAGAAAAAAAAATGTATAGGCACACAGGCAAACAATCACATAACAGAGGAAGTGACTATAAAAGGCCTGTATCTTCCACAATCCCCATCTTTCTTTGCTGCTCTCTCAGACCAGCTAAGTATTTTGCTCCTCTTGTGAATTTATATTCCTTGATTTTATCTTGTTATTGCTGTTTTCTGTGTATGTTTATTTATTGCTATACTGTGTCTGCTGTTTATCTGACTATCATTAGTTCTGGTGGTGTGCCTGGCTAAAATCCCATCTATTTATGTGTTTCCCCGCCGGGGAGATTCCTCCCTGCGCTCCCCTGTGACTGCGTCTGCCCTGTTACTCTGGGTGGCACGCGGGCCTCGGGCGCCATTTTGGCACGGCTCTCAGCCGACCGCAGCTCTCCCGTTGCGTTCGCGGGCTGCCCACGCGGGCAGGGTGCACGAGCCCCTTCCCCGCCTGGAGGCAGACCGCGATCGGTACCTGCCCGGCTTCCACGTGCGGCAGCCATTTTGGGGTCGGATCTTCTCGTGGCCTGCCTCAGTTTCTCTCCTGCTCACGGTCAGCCTGCTGCTCGATCTTGCAGGCCACTGGGTCCCCTGGGCACACCAGCAGCCAGGTTATTTTTGTTTGTTATCCTGTGGGTTACTCAACCCTGCTATTTGTGCTGCTCAGTTTCTTGTCAGGGATTCCTGTATATATATTATTGCTAATTTTCCTGCTACTATGCAAGACAGGGCCAGAGGGCCTTGCTGAGGTCTTTACCCAAGATAATCCTGAGGGTACTGTAGCCTCCCAAGAATTTCAAGCCCTACTGGACACCACTATGTGCCTTTGCATCTGCCATGGGAGCGGTGTCCTCATTGTTTTCTCAGTCCTTGCAAGCTATGCTTTTACACTCTGTGGTAGCCCCCGCCCTCCTAGGTGTCGGGACCCCCCGCCTGCCCCTGCCATGCCTGGAGCCTGTAAGTCGAAGGCTAAGGCTAAGCATGTCGACTCCCACTCCTCGATGCAGGTTCTACCTGCCATGATGGACACGCTTGAGGCAGTCACAGATGGTGCACAAAAGAGCCCCTGGCCAGGATAAAAAGGCTAGACTATGGAAACGGGCTAGGGCCCATGAGGAAGGGTCAGATACCGATCGGAGTGCGGAGGCTGACTCAGATGTGCTGGACTACGCCTCTTATGATGAGGTAGAGTCGGGTGAGGACTTACCACCTACGGGTGTGACCCCTTCTGAGACCCCCTACACTACACAGGGTCTTCTGGCTGGCTCTGCCGGGGATGGTGCGGCACTATTGGATCCGCAGGGCAACCCCCTATTCGACCCAGATGGCCTATGCCACCCCCGGTCGGCCGAGTGTGAACCCCTGGGGTATATCGCCCAATATGTTGCACGGCGCATGCGCACCCCTCTGTCTAAGGAGGGCCGCAATAAATTGCGCGCTGAATGTCCCAGGCCTTCCCTCCCAGGTTTGGCCTCCAAGACCCCAGAGGTTGACCCCCAGATCTCCCAATTTTTGAACAAATCGGGCTGGAAATCTAAAAAGGGCCTGGACTTTTCCCTAAAAGGGTGTCAGGATATGATTTTGGATACTCTGGGCCCTCTGTCTAAGCTATACAAACTCCTGGATGCTGCTAAAGCCGGTGACTCGGCCCTAGATGTAGATGTGGCCATTGGATGGGTCCAATGTGCCATTTGTCTCCTGGGGAATGCGAACACCGCTATGTCGGCTGAAAGACGTAAAGCGATCTTGCTGAAAATTGATCCCAAGCTAACAACCATGACAGTGGTGGAGCCAAGCTCATCCAGCGATGGGATGTTGTTTGGTGATACCTTCATGAAGAACCTGGGGTCCTACGTTAAAACCTTTACAGCCATTGATAAAGCCCAGGCCAATATGAAGTGCGTGTTTGCACCTAAGGTTTTCGGAGGGGCCGGGCATAGTAGGAACCGTCCACCTGGCCATGGATTCCGGGGCTCTTTCCGGGCCAGCAGAGGTTCCTTCTTCCCCTCCCGGTGATTCCAGGATCCGAGGACTCCTCCCTTCTTCCCAGCTAGAGGGAGGTCGTGGGATTCCAGATACCCCTGTGGTGCCACTTCGGGCAGACATCCTTATGGTGAGTACCCATTCTTCCCTTTTCGCTCCAGAGCGGGTGACGGGCAGGTTGGCCTTGTTCTTCCGGGGTTGGGCGGCTGTGACCTCAGATACCTGGGTGCTCCAGTCGGTAAGGGGTTATCACCTCGACTTTGTTTCTCTGCCTGTCCAACTTTCTGTCCCCAGAGAATTGTCCCTTCCCTCGGAACAGGAAGAGTTGATTTCAACGGAAATCAAAGAGATGCTGATGAAGGGTGCGATAGAGGAGTTGCCGTTTGCCGCCCAAGGCTTTACAAGCAACTTCTTCCTGGTACCAAAGAAAGGGGGTGGTGTCCACCCAGTGATCTCCGAACCCTCAATGCGTTCCTCCGTTATCAGCATTTTCAGATGGAGGGCATCCATTGCCTCAGAGACCTCCTCGTGCATCAGATTGGTTGGCCAAACTGGATCTAAAGGATGCGTATTTCACGGTTCCCATTGCAGTGGAACACAGAGACTTCCTCCACTTCACCTGGCACAGAAAACGGTGGCGTTTCACATGTCTACCGTTCGGTCTATCCTCAGCTCCTTGGTGCTTCACCAAGATCATGAGACCGGTAGTGTCCTTCCTCCGTACTCGTGGCGTACGCCTAATTATTTATCTGGATGACATTTTAATCATGTCCCAGTCCCGAGGTCAACTGCAGATCCATGTGGAGTGGACGGTCAACCTGCTCCAGAACTTAGGATTCATGATCAACTGGGACAAGTCAATCCTGAACCCAGCTCAATCGATACAGTTCTTGGGGTTCAAGGTGGATTCCATTCAACAATTCCTATATCTCCCAGAATCCAAGATGAAAGCCATTCAAAAGGAGCTTTGGCGAGCTCTTCGAGTGTCAGATTTGTCCATCAGACAATTGGCGAGAATTATCGGTCTACTTGCAGCCTCCATTCATGCGATCTTTCCGGGTCCTCCGCTCAGGTCACTCTTACGAATACAGAATACAGCTGGACAATGAATCCAGGGACGAACTGGTGTGGTGGGTGGCACACATGGAGGCTTGGAACGGACGAGCCATTTTCGGATCCATACCGAACGTGGTGATAGAATCCGACGCCAGCTTACAGGGCTGGGGGGCGCGATGTGGCAACGTTTCAACTGGAGGCAGATGGGCCGAGATAGAGAGATCCTTACACATCAACTGCCTGGAACTCTTGGCAGGTGCCTTCGCGATTCGCAGCCTTATCCCAGGTCAGGCGAATTGCTGTGTTCTCCTCAAGATGGACAACGTATCGGCGGTACGTTATATAAACCACTTGGGGGGAATCAAATCCAAGATGTTGGCTCTATTGGCGAAAGATTTTTGGCAATTTTGTTTGTACAACAATGTCTCTGTGACGGTGGAACACAACTCGAGACATTTGAGAGACTCGGGAGATTGGCAGTTACACGTTTCAGTGTTTCAAGGTCTAGACAGGTTATGGGGACGATTCACGATGGACTTGTTCGCATCCCGCCTGAACACCCATGGGCTCCAGGTACAAGAGCGGCCTATCGCGCTTCATGGAGTTCGTGGTCTGGTTGGTGCATGGAACGGTCAATGGATCCCGTATCTGCCCCTCTCCATATGATCTTGGAGTTCCTCACACACATGTTTGATTCGGGTAAGGCTTATGAACCTTTTCCACTGAGCAATTTCTGCTGGACATAGGGGATCGGATGGTTCGCCCATAGGCAGACATCCTTTTGTGTATCGTTTTCTCAAAGGTATTTGCCTCGCTTGACCTCCTAAGACTCGATTTTCTGCATTCTGGGATGTCAACGTGGTGTTACAATTTTTGTCGTCATACCCGAACCAAGACTTGACGCTTAAACAAATCTATTCTAAATTAGTGATGCTTCTCTGCTTGATTTCATGTAAGAGGGTGTCTGACACCAGGGCCCTTGATTGGGACGCCATTACTTTTACCCCTGAGGGTATTTCGTTCAACATATCCAGAAGGACTAAATCGGCATTCCAAATCTTTTGTATACCCTAGATTCTCATGGACTCCGGCACTATGCCCGGTGGATTGTCTAAAGGTATATCTGGATGTTACACGACCTCTTTGTTCATTGGAATTGCACCCATTATTCATATAATTTAGGTCTCCATATCGGCCTGTATCCGTCCCGACTCTGGTTTGTTGGGTACGCTGGCTTCTATCTTTAGCTGGCGTTGACACTTCTATCTTCACACCTCATTCAGTGCGTGGAGCCATGGCATCGAAAGCTTCTGCAGTCGGCTGTCGTGTGGAGGACATTCTGCGGGCTGCGGATTGGTCTCGGGAGTTGACCTTCCTTGACTTTTATTTCAGACTGATCAACCACATCACATCTCAAGTGATAGCACAGCTTTAAACTTGCATAATAGGAGCCTCCGTGTCTTTAATAAAATTCCCAGATTTTACTATTAACATGACGTAATGTCATGATTTTATTAAAGACACGGAGGCGAGTATTATTCCCACCCACCCTCCATCCCGGTGTTGGGTCATAAGATGAGATGCAGTTAGATTTTTCAGGTATGTTACTATCTGGTCTGTTTATTGTGTCCTACGTATTTATTTTATTTTTACTGTTGATGCGTGGTTTTATGTGATTATATACTAATAGTATTTTCTATATTATAGGTTGAATTCCTAAGAAGTCATTGACATATTTGCTTGGTACGTCTTCAATTTGGAGTTTGGTTACCATATTTCTCTCTCTTTTTTAGCTTGAAGTCCTCTGTTATGTGATTGGTTGCCTGTGTGCCTATACAGTTGTTTTTTTCTTTCATTTAGATAATATTTATATTCCTCTATCTTTGCTGCTGAGGGAAATAAGAAAGAATTATGCATAATACTCGCCTCCGTGTCTTTAATAAAATCATGACTTTACGTCATGTTAATAGTAAAATCTGGGAATTTTATTATTTTATAAAGACAGGAGGCAAATATTTTCCCACCCACTTTGTATCGCATCCCAGACACTTTCTGTGTAAGATATACTTTTCCATTCCTACGTTCCTAGACTGTATTTTAAAACTTCTTGTTAGGTGACTCTTAATTTATCTAGCTATGTCTATTTTGGTTTTGCAATATTTTAAACTCATGATATCCAGGTGTGTGTATAGAGATATATATATATATATATATATAAATATACTGTGATGGACCCTCCGTCAACCGATGCACCTAGTGCTTACCAAGGACCATCAGCACCGCACCAGTCACCATAAGCACTGCAGATTCCACGAACCACCGCAGCTTGGCTGGGAACTCGCCGTCCTCTACCCACCCTGGAACTACGACAAGGCTCCAGGTTCCAGTGGGTGAACCTCTCCTCCAAGAGAGAGTAGCAGGAACAAGCTCTTAAAAGAGCTTAGTGATTATAGCCCAGGCGAGTATACAGAGTATAGCAATCCCCCAGTGTAGATGCAGCCGTTTCCCCCACACATGAGATGAGGCTCTATGTTGAGGGTAAAACAGGAACCCAGCAGATCTGAGGGTTTATTATATTTTATACAGTTTTTCCCACAAGGTTACCACCCAGGTGGACCTTGTGGAGCACAGGACACAAAGTTACAAAGCCAATCAGAACAGTATTGTACAGTTAGACACTCCCAGATAATGTACACAAACCCTCCCCTCTGCTTGGGAGATAATTGAGTAAGATACTGTAATTAACTCAATTATGCCACATTTTTCACAAAACACAGAAAACAACACAAAACACCACATATCCGACGACAAAACACTGCTAGACAATTTAAGATGGCCACCACTACATGTTTGAATCTGTTTCAGTTAAAAGTCCAAGGGGCATTGTGCTAAGTTCCAATATGCACAAATAGTGTTTTCAAAAGGCAATACACCCAAGGGGCCATAGTCACAGGGCAAGAGGCTTGCAAGCAGGCCTCTCCAAAACCCAGTGGCGAGGTTACTTTCGCCACATAAATATATATATATTTATATATTGCAGACATCCAGTCAAAGTGACTATACTTTCACGATGTTTCTCTGTTTTTTCTAGTGTGAAGTTTCGTCTAGTCTACACGAGCAGCTTTATTACCCTACAGACTGCCATCCAATGGTTTACAGTATCGTCTTCGTTTTGGTTTACATGGTTGACTCATCGCTCTTGTTTACATGGTTGACTATATGTTTGATCGGCTGCATCAAGAAGAAGGAGTTGGGAGGAGCCCCACAGACTAATATATTCTAAGATGTACTCTGATTTTTTTCTCTATGTGTTTAACTGTTTCTTTGCTCTGGGAGGTTCACTAAAGAAGGTTAAAGCCAATATTCATCTCCTGTATTTCATAAACTTTAGATTATTCGCTCACTGTAAATTAGAATAATTCAGAATTATATCTGGGTATTGCAAATATTATAACTTCAGAAGTGTGTCTTTGTATACTCTTTTCTTTTGTATTGGTTGTTTAGACCTATTTTTACCAATGTATAATCTATAAAGTGTTTTGAAAATAAAGAGGTTAATTTTAGCCTTGGTGCCCTTGAGCAGAAGAAATCAAATAACTATACATAATTTCTAACACTAAGATGGGCATACTTAGAGGGACATTATAGTCACCAGAACTACAGCTTATTGTATTTGTTCTGGTGAGTAGAATCATTCCCTTTAGGCTTTTTGCAGTAAACACTGTCTTTTCAGAAAAAATGCAGTGTTAACGCCACTGTTTACTCATCAGATGGCTACTAGAGGTGCTTCCTGCGGCAGTGCTGCACACTGTCTAGTACTTACATTCAGTGTCTCCACCCTCTGCATGCAGACACTGAACTTTCCTCATAGAGATGCATTGATTCAAAAAGTATATTGTTATTACACTAACAATGTACACTGTATCAATATCATATGATATTAAAGTTGAAAGAAACATCACCATATGTGGTTTTAA